TGCAGTGGAACAGTTCACAGCACTGGGACCGTCAGGACTATTCACCCTGGTGAGGTGGGGCGGCGCGGGGCCTGATTCGATAAAGCGCCCGCGGAGATCCCTTTCCGTGTCGCTGTCGTAGTTCCCGCCATGGGCCCGTCTCCGCGGGGTCCCCGTGGGCGACGTTCGCGTTGCTGTCCGGCGGCCGTGTTGGGATCGCCCTTTGGTCGTCTCGCGTCGGCGCCGCGAGGAGTGGTGGTGGTGGTGGGAATGGTGGAGATGGCGGTGATGGTGGTGCCGACCATGGCGACGATGACGACGCCGTGTGGAGGAGGAAGAAGAACCGGAGGAGATCGAACGACGACGGCGGTGGTGGTGGCGGTGATGGAAATGGCGTGAATGACGGTGAAGGTGGTGGTGTCGACGGGATACCGAACCGTTCCGGGAATCGCGTCGCGATGGGTCATCGTTCGTCCATCGGGAGATATCGCTACCACTGCTATAACTGGAAGCTGAGCGGCTTCGGCTTCGTTTATTAATTCGCCCCATTTCGTAGTGTGAATCCGACGGTGTTGGTGGTGGTATCGGCGACGGGGAGGCCAACGGCAACTCCGGGGAGACACCGTTAACGAGCCGCACTAACTCCTCGAGGCGCACCGGGTTTACAACCGCGGAGGATGTTATCGAAGGACTCACAAAGGAAGGAGCCTCGGCGGGGTGTGTGTCGTCTACCTCCATCAAATTCTTCACGGGGCTGGCCCACGCCTCCTCGGCCCGAGCGGTGTGTTCAAACTCCAGATTTACAAGTTGAGTGGGGTCCTGCGTATCGCCATCCTCCCGGATGCGCGCAAAGGTATAAAATGAAAATGCCTCCTGGCCAAACACATCAGTGAGCCACCGCGCACACCCCATCAACTCCGTAAAAGTATGCACCACTATCAGGGCCTTGGGAGACCCTTTGGCGATGTTGTCATTCCCCTCTTCCGTCTCCACGTTCACGGGTTTAGCCTTTTCAGAGGCCATCTTACAGCACGCCTGGTCGTCAAGGGAATCACAAGAATCCTGCACAGGCGCGCCCTCAGGGGAAGGATTCTCAACGAGGTACCCGCCGCCTGAAAAGAGGGTATTGCAGCCAACCGCGAGCAAGGTAGCGCTCCGCTTCCCCGCCCCGTGCGGTCCAGTGAGAATCGTGTGGTAGCCAAGCAACATCGACGGGAGGGCAAACTGCTGAAGCCCGGGCAAGATCGTGAGCGCCGCGGCGGATGCCGCCGGCGAAGATCCGACGCCCTGGGGGGTGGAGCCGTTCGGGGGGTCGGCCGGTCCCCCAAAAATCAGTTCCTGAAGCTCGCGAAGCCGCTGGGCATTCGCCCACGCGCCGCGACCGCCCTCCGCGGGGTCCCAAGCCATGCCCTTCGACGACATCGGCGACGCGCGGACGCGACGTAGCCCCTCGGCGACCGCAGGCGGGAGCGCCAAATCCGCCACGCTCCAGAGAGGCGGCGGGGGCAGCGAAGACGGGCGATCCTGCGCGGAGGACCTAAAAAAGATGCCGTGAAAACGCTCCATAAAACGACGGCGCAGCCCCGGCCTTGCCACCCATTCCGCGGTGAGGGCCACGTCCTTGGCGGGTTGCCAGCCCGTGAAGGACGACGACGGGGCGGGTGGCGCATCCTCCTCGCCCTTCGCCCCTTCCGCGGGCCATAAGGGGTCCCTGCGGTGGGCGCGGGAGGGCCCTGTGGGGGGAGAGGGGGGGGGGCGGCCTGAGGACGGCGTCGGGGCGGTCCCGCGTCGGGGACCCGCCTCAGCTCCCCCCCCGCCGCGATGACGAGCTCCAACAAGGACTTCTGCGGCGGCGGCGGCGGCGTGGTCGACACAGACGAACGCACAAACTCCGGAAACACAAGGTTCATCGGGCAAGGTTGGGGATAATCAATTCTAAAGGGGGGAAAAAAGGATCAACTGGGATCACGCGATAGTTCCCTTCAAAAAAGATACGGAAAAATGACGCTTGGGGTTTGATTTTCCTTTTTTTTTCATACACTAATATATAAAGAAGAAGCAATAAAACATAGACCTGAGATATTTAAAATTTAAAAAAAAACATAAGAATGCATACATACCACATCTCACATAGTGCTTCGCAGACATTTGGCCAACAATGTAAAAACACCATGAAGAAAAGACAAATTTGTGGAGATTAATATCATACACAGCAATCCTCGTTTAAATCCTTTGAGTGGAGAAAATTTTAAACAAAATAGAGTATCCAACTTCTTTTTTTCTACGATCAGATCCCCTTTTTACTATAAATTTTGAAATTCCTAAGAAAGTTTTGTGGTAGCTATTAGTTCATTATCTGGTATTCACAATTTTCTTTGAAAGAAAATGTGATACTGTCGTTTGTGCAAAAAAAACTATTGAATATCGTTTTTTCATTACCACAATAATGCATAAGTGTATTAATTAAAAATGTATATATGAATATATAAATAGATATATGCATATTTCAGTTTCATTGGGGGAGAAGGGGATAGGTGATATGTGCTAATATATTATCACCACCATTACACATACAACTGTACTCAAGTGTATGGCTACGTGCTTTGCCATCTCTACTATTAGATCTTACTTCGTTTTTTCTAATAAATCAGAATTATTTTTTAAAAAAGGTAAGAAAAGATATAATCGGCACAACACTCCAGTAATAGATCGCAAATGTACCTGTATGAGCAAGAAATTCAATAAAATAAATTACCTTCTCTGTTTATCATTACTTTGCTTCGTACACAATTTAGCTTCAATACTCATTCTGGTGAACGCTGCAGATTAGGGAACGTCTTTGTCGAGTTCAGAAGCACACCATCATCGAGAGGAGTCTGATGGCGTTTGCTAATTAAACCCAATATATCATTGCTAACTTTGGTGAGCGGTTCCTTACTCAAGGTAATCGCACCACGTTCGGGGGACTCAATTAGATCGAACAGCAACGGGGAATCGTCGAATGGGCCGTCGTTGAACAATGCGGTTCGCAAAATAGTGTGCGTGATATCGTCGTACGGAACCTTCATCATGGTCATGTCATTAAGAACCTTAAGGCACATATCATGCGCGTGCACGTGCTTCTCCCCACCAATCCGAAGTATATTTGCAATATCATTGCACAAGGCAGTATCGAAGATCTGCTCCACTACAACTTTGATAGATTTTACGCATTCATCAATACGGCCCTTAATCTGTGCATATTCCTCCTTTTGTTGGTCGAGAAAGTCCTGCTTGAAGGCTGCGAGACCGCGTTTGAGAACATCCTTGATGTAATAACTTGAAAGCTCATGATCTTTGAGCTCCTTGTCCTTCAGACGGATATAGTACATCACCTCCTCGTAGAAAGTCAACAAGCTTGTCATATCCTTCCACTGAGTCTCACGAAAACGTTCGAAAGCATCTGGGAAAGGCTGGAGTTTGGGGGGCGACTTATCAAAGCGAGCGGCAACCTGCCGCTCCAACTTGCGAAAATCAACGTCCGCCGTGATCGTGGCGATAAGTGGGGCATACCGGGTTCGTGTGAGGTTCATCTCCGCGAAGAGCATCTTTCGTGGCGTCTCCAGTTTGTCGAGGATAGACAAGGGAGCCTGAAAAACATTCGCCACCTCCTCTCGCGAAGGGGGGAATCCCAGTTTGCGCTCCGTCGTCGGCGGCAGCGGGCTTTGAACCGCCGCGAGGCTGTGCGCACCGCGGGAGAGGATGGACACAATCCTGACGGACTGGAATGCCCGGCAGTACGCAAAACGCATCCCTCTTTATCTTAACTATGCTATGAAATATTTTTTCTGGGTTAATGCTAACTATGAGGGGTAAGACAGGGGGGGGGGGGGATGGAGATAGGCTCGAGACACGGAACTGTATAGCTTGAGGAAGATAATCGGTGTTACTGTAATAATATTGAGGTGTGTTTGTGTGCGCTAATGAGAAATTTCAAGAAATCATATATATACATATATAGATGTATATACGTGTATTGGAGAAGAGGTAAATATAACATACCCAGTCGTCAACCCGAGGATGAAATGCACCATTATCGCACAACCTGCACCTCATCAAAGGGCACACGCAAGATGTTAAGCACACAGTTCAAGGAAGCCATAAATATGGAAAGACAGAATTAGAAAGCATTCAATGTTTTCGATTTTACCTTAATGAATGCGAAAATACCCCTCCGCTCATTTCAACGGTCATTAACTGGACAAAGGGATAAATACTCTGATGTTGTTGTTTTTTTACGGGTAAAATTAGATACCCACTTGGTATATTTACACATTCTTAATAATTAATAAGTATGGTTTATTTTTTTTTTATATAAAAGTTGTATTGATGTGTCAAAAGCCCCTTTCCAGTGCTCCTTCTCATTCGCCTTAATTAATGGTATGTATTCTTTACGTCCTTCAGCAATTTACTCAATTAACCTCACCTTGCCTCGGAACTCGTCCAGAGTGGCGTAGCCCTTACTCACCATCAACTCACGAAGCTCCCGGCAAAGCCGCGCAAAGATCGCGGTGCCTTCGTCGTGAAGTGCGGTCCCCACCTGAATCATCGAGGCCCCGGCAAGGACATGCAAAAAGGCATCCTCGCCGGTATACACCCCTCCACAGCCAAAAATCAACTTATCCGGGCATCGGCGGTAGAAGGCATTCACGTTTGCGAGGGCCGTGGGGAGGATATACCGCCCGCCGAGCCCGCCAAACCCCTGTTTGGGCTTTATCACCACAGACTCGCTCTCGACGTCGATGAACAGCCCATTCCCGATGCTGTTCACGCAGGTGATGAACTTTACGAGCGGGAAGTCGTTCAAAATCGCGGCGGCCTGATCGAAGTGCGCGATGTCGAAGTAGGGGGGCATTTTAACGCCAAACGGATGTCCATAGGCGGCCGAGGCCACGGAAAGATACTGCCGCATATCCCCAAAGTCGTACGCGATCTGCGGCTTGCCAGGGACGTTCGGGCAGGACAAGTTCAGCTCCAGCACCGCCCCTTTCGCCGCGGTGACCGCCGCGAGTTTGCGGCACATCGCCTCGTTTTCCCCCACCGAAAGCCCGGAGAGGGAGACGAACAGCGGCTTCGCGGCGTAGTCGTGCGTCGTGGCGGCGTAATGCTCGTAAAAGTCGAAGCCGCAGTTGGGCAATCCCATCGAATTAATGCTCCCGAGTTCGAGGCTTTTGTACCGCGGCTCCGGATTCCCCGTCCGCGCCGCGGCCGTGCAGCTCTTCGTGACGAGGCTGCCGCTCTCGCTCGCGGTCATCGCGTCGAGCTCCTCCTGGACGCTGCACATCACCCCCGCCGCGTTCATAAACGGATTCGCGAACTGGTGCCCGAGAAGATGAAGTTCCAAACTCATGGCGCTGAATATTTAAAATAGGCCGCGCGTCGAGAAAGTACTTTTCGGTTTTCGGTTTTGTTGTTGTTGTTGTTGTTGTTGTTGTTGTTGTTTTCTGAACACCAGCTAGGATTTGGTAGAACAGCGTGGGGGAAAATTTTTTTTTTAAGGTGCGCTTTCGGCGAGGAGAGGCGATCCAAGGCCCCTGCGGTGGTATTTTTAAGCGAAAAGCGAAGGTCAAGTTATAGAATAAATACTTACCCATTTAAGAGGAAAAAGACGCTTCAAGGAGTTTAATTTTTATCAATGTTAAATAGCTACTGTTGTTGTTTTTTCCATTATTTCAAGGAAGCCCTTACCCTCTTAGATATTTGATGAAATTAAAAACGCGTAATGGGACGATCGTTGCGATTTTTTTTCTTAAGTGGAGCATGGGCAGCCTCAATTGTCCTCCCTTTTAAAATCATTAATGGGGACATATCCTATGAGTCCCTACCCCATGCACACACACACACACAATATTAATATAAAGTGAAGCCACTCGAGTCCTATAAATTGAATAGGCTCATATTTGTGTGTGTTGACGTTCGTATTAGTGATTTACCAAAATCGTCCAGCACCTTGTGTCCAAATAACGGTGTGTGCATGATCCACTTTTCGCTTATCCTACACACGACATTCTTTTAATATTTAAACGCGTCAATACGTAGTTTTTAGGAAGTAAAAGGTAAATGGGCAACCCAAATAAAAGCTCTCGTTATTGCAAGTAAGATAACACGCCTAGAGCAAAAGGCGAGGAGTTAGGAATCGCCTTTAGAACCCTATAAATTTTAAAAAAAGAGTGCATATGAAACTATCGCTAACCGAAGGGCCTCCCCCCTCCCCCCCCCCTTCTTTTTTTTCCTTTTTTAAACCACGCCCCTGGTCAAACCAGAATACTATATAAGAGAGCCATGCGCATATAAAGCCCATTTTGCATCTGTCGAAAGTACGCGGCGCGGGGGTCGTCGTCGATGTCGGTGGAGAGCTCATCGACCCGTGGAAGAGGGTGCATGACGATCATGTCCTTTTTGGCGTCCCGCATCCGCGCCCGGTCCACGCGAATGCCCTCCTTGGCGGCCTCAAACGCGGCCAACGACCGGGCATCCCCCGCCTCGGCCGAGGCGAAGCGCTCTTTTTGCAGGCGCGTGCAGTACAACACATCGCAGTCCGCGACAACCGCAGCGGCGAGCGCCGTGCGCGACTCCAGCGCGATCCCGCGTTCCTTCAGGCTCGCGGCGACGCTGTCCAGGACCGCCTCCGGCATCTCCAGCCCCTCCGGGGCGATCAAATACACCTTCCGCAGGTTATAATTCCCGCACAGCAGCCGAAGAAGGGAGTGCACCGTGCGGCCCATCTTCAAATCCCCGATAAAGGCGATGGTGAGGCCGTCAACCCGGCCGAGGTCCGCCTTGATGGTCAAAAGATCCAAAAGCGACTGGCTCGGGTGCTCGCCGGCGCCGTTTCCCGCGTTGAGAATGGGGTGGGTGGCGACGGCGAGGGCCTGCGCGAGGGCCTCGACTTGGGGGTGGCGAAGCACCATCACGTCGGCGTAGGAATCCATCGCGCGGATCGTATCCTGCAGGGTTTCGCCCTTGTTCACGGAGCTTCGCTCGATATTAAAGTCCAAGACCTGCCCGCCAAGCCGCAACATCGCGGCGCAGAAGCTGGAGCGCGTCCGCGAGGAGTCCTCGAAGAAGAGCGGGACCATCAGCCGGCCCCGAAGGACGTCGAGGGTCGTGCCGGACGCGATGGCGCCGCGCATCGCCAGCGCGAGGTCGATCAGCCCCTCGATCTCCTCCAGGCTGAAGTCCCCGGCGGCGGCCACGCTGCGGCCTTTGAGAGAAGCAACGGGTTGAAATGGGTACGACATTGCGTTGTGTTAAGGGTTAGGTTGTTGTTGTTTTATTATTATTTTTATATTTTTTTTGTTGTTGGTGGTGGGGAAAAGGTGAGGTGCGTGTGGCCGTAGAACGAGTAAGACGAACCACGTGAAAATAAGAGTCTTCCCTGCAAAATAAAAAGACGAGAACGATAGTACGCTGGTCAAACCTTTCGGGGGTTGGATGGAGGTTCACGGAGCCTTATGAAATAGTCCAAGTAATGAGAATAATAATAAAGAAATATGTCTTTTTTTGACTGGAATAAAATGCCCTAAGATCCCTTGGTGCGTGCGCAGATAAGGTGAGTGAAAAGGATCATAAAAAAACACAGCGTTGGACGAGATACGGATGCGATTTCTCCAAACCGCGGGAAATATCGCAGGTCACACTTCGGCTAAAACTAGCGAAGCGCTTGGGATCTCTGGATAATGATGTCAGATTACCTTAGGAAAAGAAACAAATTAGGTTCGATTTACCTTATATATTACTGGTCCCACCCTTTCAAATGGATCGGGATTGAATTATACCTAACAGGAACCGTCCTCCCCTTCTTTTGGGCGCAGTCCGAAGCTACACCCCAAAACCATCGCGCAACTCCCCCCTCCATCATCTGGATGAGCACACACATATAAATAAATAGACATACATATATATATATACATATAGACATATGTATATATGTATATATGTATGTATGTCTAAGTATATCAGTACAGGGCAAACGAAAGCACAAATCAAAGAAGAACCGCCCACCCCTCTTGTTATCCCTGAATTAAAAAGATCCTTTTCACTCCACCCAGGAGGGTCGCATAATTTAAAAAAAAAGAAAAAAAAAGAGGAAAGAGGAAAGAATCACCCCCGGCGATCTACAATTTGCTCCGGAACTGCTGTAGGAACTGGTTGACCTCCGCGGCCTGCTCGGCTGAGATGGCCCCGCTTTGCTTCCAGAGCGGGAGGAGCTGAAAGAGCCCGACGACGGCCTCGAAGGCGTAGCCGAGTTTATTCAAAAAAGCCTTCGCCCCCATCTCGCGGTCGATCAGCACCACCACCGCGACGATTTCGAGCCCGACGGCCTTCAACTTCTCGATGGCCTCGACCTTCGTCTCGCCGGTCGAGACGAGGTCGTCGATGATGACGACCCGCTCGCCCTTGTGATATTCCCCCTCGATGGCGGCCTTCGTGCCGTAGCCTTTGGCCTCCCGCCGGGGGTAAATCAGCGGGACGTTCATGTCGAGCGAAATCGCCGAGGCGATCGGCAGCGCGGCGTAGGGCAGCCCCACCAGCCGGTCAAAGGTGTAGCCCCGGAGCACCTTCGCGTACTCCCGCGCGACGAGCCGCAGGATGCCGGGGTAGCCCACTAAACGCCGGAGGTCGATGTAGATCGGCGAGGTTCTGCCGGACTTCAGCGTGAAGTCGCCGAAGCGAACGCAGCGGGAGAGCACCAGCGCCTGCGCGAGCTCCACCGACGGGTCGCGCGCGCGCCGGAGGAGGTTGATGTCCTCGCAGAGCCGCCGCGCCGAGGCCCGGGGGTCCTCGGCGGCCGCGATGGACCTCGAAACATTAATTAAAAGCCCGCTCTCGTCCGAGCGAAGCCCCGCCCGGAGCGCGGCCCGCAGGCTCCCGCCCTGCGCCCCGATGCCAGGGACGAGCAGCCAAATCGACGGCGCGCAGGCCCGCACGCGGGCCAGCGCGACCGGGTCCGTCGCCCCCACCACCAGCCCGACGTTGTGGTTGCCATTCCACACCCCCTCCGCGCGCTCGGCGACCTCCTCGTAAAGATATTTCCCCCCGAGCCGCAAACATTGCAGGTCATTGCTGCCTTTGTTGGAGGTTTTGCACAGCACAAAGACCCCGCGGTCGGCATAGCGAAGAAAGGGCGCCAAAGAGTCCCCGCCCATGTACGGGGAGACCGTCAGGGCGTGGGCGTGGAGGCGCTCGAAGGCCGACTTCGCGTAGGCGTCCGCGGTCGAGGCGATGTCGCCGCGCTTGGCGTCCAGGATCACGGGGATATGCGGGGGAATCCGCGCGATCAGCGCCGCCAGGACCCCCCACCCTTCCGGCCCGAAGAGCTCGAAAAAGGCGGCGTTCGGCTTGTAGGCCGCGGCGTAGTCCTGGGTCTGCTCCACCAGGCGACAGCACTCCTGCAGGGCGTCCTCGGCGGTTTTGGAGCGGGGGTCCAGGCCAATGCAGAGCAGGGTGCTCTTCGCCCGCGCATCAAGAAGGTCGAAAAACTTCGTACTCATCGGGATCAATCGGGATCGATCTCTCTCTCAATATCTATATATATATATAATAATAAATATATATAGATAGAATATAAATAAATAGATTGTTTATCTATATGGGTGTGTGTAAGGGGGAGGGAGGGGGAGGGCCACAGTTGACTGTACGCCTCACACCTGATAAGTTCGGTTTGGGTGAAAAAAAAAGGGTCGACGACGTGTGGCGGGAGGATTAGGCTGGTTTGGTGTATAATGATGTTCCTTAGGGCGAAAGACACACAAGAAAGGGAATGATATTAGAGCATAAGGAAAGGAATTCCATGAAAACGAAGGGGGAAATACATATATCGATCGATTATCGATTATGCCTACAGAGCAAAAGAATTGAAAATGCGCTTAGTTAATTTTTTAAAAAAGCATGAATGGCCGTGTTATAGTATTTTAAAGCATAGGAACCGTCCCTCAAGATGACGAAAGGATCCAACCGAAATACCCCACCCGGACCCCCCCCAGTGCGAAACCGCAGCCCAAACGAAGACCACCGCGATGGAATGTTCTTCCAAAGACGCGTCGGGCGGTCTGCCGTCAACGTCAGCCGACGTTTGGCCGGGCGAAGAAATCGCCGGCGCGATTGTCCCCCTCCGCATCGTCCACCGCCCCGCCGGACGAGTCGGGTCGGCCCATTTTCACCGCTCCCACACGCCCATCCTTCGAAAAGCCCCCCAAATCGCATAGTCCTGTGTGGAGGAGGGGGAAGGAGGGGGAAAAGGAGGGGGTTATTGATCTAGACACCGCCTCTTTATGTTCTTTCCTATTAAAAACTATCTATTTCTCTATCTCTATCGCTTTTGCTCTATGCTGGCGTCGGCCTAGTCCTCCTGGATGGCCTTTCCGATGAGATGCCAGCCGTGGTAGGGCGACCAGCCGCACTTGGAGTGCAGGGCGGCCTGGTCGACGCGCCAGGCCGCGGTGGTGTTGAACTTCCGCCCCGGGCCGGCCGGGAGGCCGAGGCCGAAGATGCGGTTCGGGTTGGCGTGCAAAAGCCGCACGAGATCGGCGTGGGTGAGGCCCGGGCCCTCCGCCAGCGCGCGGGGCCGCGCGGCGGTGGGGTGGGGCCACCCCCCCGCGCACACCGTCAACAGCAGCGGCACCAGCAGCTCCACCCCGGGCATCCCGCTCGGCGGCGTCTTTTTCGGATTTTTTTCCGGATTCTTTTCCAATTTACTTTCCAAATCACTTTCCAAATGACTTTCCGAGTTCTTTTCCGGGATACTCGCGAGGCGATCGCCGGGGTCGACCTCGCCGGCCTTCTCCGCGGCGGTGTGCGGGGCGTGGTCGGTCGCGACGACGTCGACGGTGCCGTCGAGGACCCCTCGCCAGAGCGCCTCGCGGTCGTCGGGGGTGCGCACCGGCGGGTTCACCTTCAGCCGCGCCCCGGCCCAGGGGTAGTCCGCCGCGTCGAGGAAAAGATGGTGCGGGGCGACCTCGCAGCTGAGCGGGAGGCCGGGGTCGTCCTTTTTGGCCTCGCGGACCGCCGCCAGCGCGCCGGCCGTGGACAAATGGGCGAGATGGAGGGGCGTGCGGTACTGCCGGGCCCAGGCCAGGGCCTGGCGGACCGATGCCAA